CTTTAAGATATAATTTTTAAAGATAATATTGCAATACAAACTGAATATTTTGTGGAAAGTGAAATCTAATTGATCAAAAATTGCAAATAATAACAGATCTCCAAAATATTTCGTATCGTTATTAGTTTGGGAATATCAGTTAGGGAATAATTATAGATTTATAAAAATACCCATTTTCACGACAGAATAAAAGATGCTGTACTATGGTCATTGTTGGTTCATAAAATATAATAAAGTATTACAAAACTTTTAGCCTTTAAAATATTATGATTTTTTTTTGCGAAAGACGGCATAACATAACAGTCCCTCAAAATTATGCGGATATCGATTATGTTTTACACATATTTGTGCGTTAGAAATATCGACTCGATGCAGGAACTAAGTACAAAAACGTAAATATTTACAAGAGATGATGCGTTTTTCATGCAAGCAAACATCGTGGTTCTCGAATGTATTCTATAATTTCATTACAACAGTTATATCTAAAATTGACAGTCATGCTCAAATAAAACAGCTACCGGTTTCATTTAGGAGTTTAATCTCAACATTGATGTTTAAGTGGATAAAATTTGTACATAGAAGGTACAACTTTCATAAAACAAAAGTCATCGCACCCTTTTCCTCAATTATAGCTGTCACTGAATTATCATTTTAATGTTTCAGCCTTGACAGAAGAATTATAGAAATTTAATGATCTATCAGTCATTCACTTTAACGTACTATCCACAATAAGACTGAAATATGTTACTCTGTTTGTGCTATAAATAAAATGAAATAGATATAAATAGATATGTAAGAATAGACAGATGTTGTGTACGCGTTATACTTGTTGTACCTACAAGTATTTGCTTAATCTGTATAAATAAGTATTTCTTTTTTATAAAACGATATAATTGTAAACGCATAAACTTTTCACAAGTCCCAATCCTAACATGGTCTTGCGCCCTCACCCAAACACATTTTTTTTAAATCCAGGATCCGCACCTCCATTTAGGTTGCAATTCTGTAAATATAGACAATGCAATTTCCCATAGGAACTCCCTTTGCGGCTAAAACTGTCACAGTGACACTTTTACTATGAAGTTTCGTGAAAAATAATATCCTAGAAAGGAAAGTTTATATGCACTACTATTTTATTCAAAGGTCAAAATATAGGGCTGTGCGGCATATTTTCAACATTTATATGCCCTGAACTTCTAAGAGTTTAAACTTATACTAAAATTCTATACTACCCTTACCTCCATTTTTGGACCTCCTAAGAATTAAAATTTAGGCGCTACCATGATTTTCTATACTGGTTACATTCCCAAGTGATGTCTCTATGAAATGAAACACAGAGATCATAAATGGGAACCAGTACGTTAACAAATTAACATATCTATGAATATTATATATCTCCCCAAAAGAGGCGTGGTTTGAGAAACAGCTGTATTTACAAAGTGCAACCTTTACAAACATTTATTCAAATAGAAAACTCTCTAAAAACACTTTTTCTCAAAACAATACTTATTTATCAGAATTATAGCCTTAAAGAAATCACTGCATATACTCTAAGTTTCCTTTTACAGTACATTTTATACCCCTACCCCTGTTTCAATTTTTTAAAGAATTTGAAAACAAGACTTTAATAATTGCCAGCTTACCCTATGTGCATGTTTTCTGACATTAACTGTCTAAAACCTGTTTGAAACTATTCTGATAACAAATTGAAAGCATTTTAAAATACTATAAATGTAATGTTTAGTAGTTAATCATTCCAACATTCAAGATTATACAAAGTATCCAATCCTGCCTGTGTCTCCAGTCCACATCTTACTGTATGCCTATTTGTCAATGAAAGTTCACAATTTCTGCCTCAAATGGTCAGTTTAGAATTCATGTTACAACAGTATCATCCCTAACCATATATCTAACATAAGTTAGTTAATATATGAACTACAAGTGTTTAAACAAAGCCATATTTGCAAAAGTTGTATTTATGAAGATATCAGTCTGGTGCATAAATTCACTTAAAGTTTGATAGAAATGACTGCTTACATCTGATTTTTGCATAACTTCCTAGCACAGTTATGGTTTTCCTTACAAAAGACCTTTAAAATAATAAAAGCATAGCATTTAGAAGTTAAATTATCTGTTTTATGACCCAGGGGGAGGCATTTTTCTCTGTTTTTTGCCCCTGGGGCCTCACATTTCCTAATTTTTTTCCCTGTTTCTGGCAATGTGGAATAATTGGTACATATCTAGGATAGAACACACTATTGTAAGTTTTATTGAGGTCTTTTTGTAATTCTAGCTTGTACTTTTTATGCCGCAGTCACAAAAAAGCACATTTAGGTGTTACGGGTTACTTTTGGGTTATCGGCAGGACAAAAACACCCCACCAAAAATATTTAAGTAGGATCAATGAGTTGCAATGACTGCGAAGAGTAAATATAAGAACTTCTAAACAATTTAAATTACAAATAGGCATATATCATGAATTTATTTTTTATTCAGGGCTTTAAGTAAACAATGCATACTGTAAACTGTGAATTTATGCTGACTCATCATAGTTTAGGCCCAGGATTTTTTCAATCTTCATGAAATATTTATAAAACTTCATATTTGAGTTAAATCCTTAAAAATCTCTGAGATAAACAAGATTTTGTGAAATTCTGTATGTTCTAATTTTTAACCCTATATATGTTGCAATTCTGTAAATATAGACAATGCAATTTCCCATAGGAACTCCCTTTGCGGCTAAAACTGTGACACTTTTACTATGAAGTTTCGTGAAAAATAATATCCTAGAATGGAAAGTTTATATGCACTACTATTTTATTCAAAGGTCAAAATATAGGGCTGTGCGGCATATTTTCAACATTTATATGCCCTGAACTTCTAAGAGTTTAAACTTATACTAAAATTCTATACTACCCTAACCTCCATTTTTGGACCTCCTAAGAATTAAAATTTAGGCGCTACCATGTTTTTCTACACTGGTTACATTCTAAAGTGATGTCTCTATGAAATGAAACATAGAGATCATAAATGGGAACCAGTACGTTAACAAATTAACATATCTATGAATATTATATATCTCCCCAAAAGAGGCGTGGTTTGAGAAACAGCTGTATTTACAAAGTGCAACCTATAAGATCAGCTATTATGAGTATTTTAATTCAACTCATATTTGATGTTTAAACAACCTATGTGTTTCAACATGGTCTTTGTAGTTTTGTTGAACGTTTAAACATTATACTGATCATATTAATGTTAAAAAATTTGACAGACATTTTTTTATTTTCCAATATTTGTTCCTATAATTCATTAAATTGGTTGAATACTAAGATTGCATGTGTCTTCTTGATAAGAATTATTTCACTATTCGATATCAGATATTCACGATTCGATCTCAGATATTCACTATTGATATCAGATATTGAGGATCAGATCAGGATACCTGACAACCGTTACCTTTTCTTTTACAATTGTTTTTCTAGATAAACCAAATGACAGCTGTGGCCAAATAATCTTGGACAAATAACCCTTTAAAATTGGCTTGTTTTTTGGATGTCAAAGAAAAAAATTAATTGACTGTATTCTGGTTATAATGGTGGCAGCCAAAATAGTTGGTGGTAGCTTGGATTTAGGCATAGACAATTTCTACGTAAACAAAACTCTTCAAAGACAACAATTAAAGTAACATTACCGTATGTTTAGTTCAGTAGAATAATTTTAGTTTTATGAAAGACATAAACGTATTATAAAAACAAGACAACAAAAATACCGAACTCCAAGGAAAATTCAAAACGGAAAGTCTCTAAGTCAAATGACAAAATCAAAAGCTCAAACACATCAAACGAATGGAAAACAACTGTCATATTCATGAATTGGTAAAGGCATTCCCTTATGTAGACAAAGGTGGATTAAACCTGATTGTATAGATAGCTAAACCTCTCACTTGTTTGCTAGTTATTATACTGAATATAACATGAGGTAATGCTACCGGTGATACAAGGTTGTATTTTGGGAGTTATGTTTTGGTAGAATACAATTTTTCCATGTCTAAATCAGAACAAGAACAGAATCGTATGGCTACAATGTACAAAGTCACATATATATTTGAGATTTATTTTACATCACAGGTACGAATATGTTTGATTTTGTTGTCATCCTAAATGAGTCAACAGTTTGCTTCTGTACTCTTGTTTCCAATAAAGGTTAGAGTTAGGGTGAAAATAAAAAAACATTAAGAAATGTATGACCGGAGAAAGAAGTTACTTGAAACAAACCTCTGACTCAAATAACAATTTGATACATAAGATCTTATCGTAAAAACAGGGTCAGTTTAGATATGTGTTTTAGACTTTCCAATCATTGAATATGCTACTGCGAAAATAATTCTCTATTTTTTATTGCTGTATGGCTACAATGTACAAAGTCACATTTATATTTGAGATTTATTTTACATCACAGGTACGAATATGTTTGATTTTGTTGTCATCCTAAATGAGTCAACAGTTTGCTTCTGTACTCTTGTTTCCAATAAAGGTTAGAGTTAGGGTGAAAATAAAAAACCTTAAGAAATGTATGAACGGAGAAAGAAGTTGCTAGAAACAAACCTCTGACTCAAATAACAATTTGATACATAAGATCTTATCGTACAAACAGGGTCAGTTTAGATATGTGTTTTAGACTTTCCAATCATTGAATATGCTACTGCGAAAATAATTCTCTATTTTGTATTGCTATATTCGCATTCCGCAGCATATAAGTGCGTTCGATACCATTGCTGAATAAATATAGAAATCTTATTGGTGTTTGTTTGAAGGGGTTGTTTGTTTTCATTTTAGTGGTTTCCTTTTTCAGACATGGTTTCATTCTGCAGCTGTATATTATAATTAATTATTCTAAAAATTATATAAAGTACTATAATTACAAAGTTGTTTGTTATTATCTTGATACTTTGTGGTATAGTTATCGATCGTTGTAAATGCATATATATAAATAACTATTACCGTAAAACATAGAATTCTCCAGATCTTTCAAAGCACTCCGTGAAAAACACAGAACCATCTGCTAAAACTGTCATATTGTAATTCGTTACTGGACTTGTTTTTTGAAACTCTATCAGAAATTCCTTCGAATTCACCAAGTCAAATGCTTTGTTTATAAAGTTACAAGTAAATGCACACAGTCCAGTGGATTTCCCTGAAAAAAAATAAGATGAGAAGATAGATGTAAGCTACTACATTTTTTTTCGTGATCGTTCAGTGTACTTATTTGATTTAAAGTGTCTGATTTGGGCCATTTAAAAAAAAATCAGTGTTATATATTTTAACTGAACTTTAGTTTCAAATTCGACCATCTTTTTTCTTCTGCACAAATCCATTAAGTGATAGTGTTTAAGGTGGATTTAATAGACATGAACGATGTCAAATCGGTCATGATTAATCAATGATAATTATGAAAAATGCTTTAATCTAGTCCAGGTTATTTTCATACATTCATCTGGTAATTTTGTTTTTTTTTAAATCTTTACCCCATGTGTACCATATTTCCATGGTTATAAATGTTTTTTCATGGGGTAACAATCTGCTCTGATTGCCGCAATGGAAAATTTTGTGAATGTATGTATCATTACGACAAAACCAAAGGACCCCGAAAAGTATTCACAACAGAAAGTAGAACGTAGCATTTTGATGTTCTTGTTACTGATGCATGGACACTTGATCTGTATATCAATCAGGTTAGCAGATTAAAATTTTGGTAATCAATGTTTTTTTTCATATTCCCTGTCTATTTGTACTTCATTATTAACGTATTTAACGTTGGCATCAATATTTCTTTGTTTTCTAACAACGTGCAATTTACCTGTGATAATATAAACGTCACAAAAAAATGTCACAAAGACTTTGTGACGTTGATCCATTCATGTGACGCGCCGTTTAAATTTCGTTTGTGGTATCCTGTCTTACATTCATTGGAGGCGTTCGTTGTTATTCTGCAGTTTACATGTTGTAATGTACTATTATATTATTTATTTATTTATTTTTCTGTGCTGAGTATTCTTGCGTTTGTTTGTACTGTATTCCTACCACGTAGTGTTTTCTTTGAGCGGTATTTTTAACATTGCCATATATGTTGGCGTTTGCTTTTGTTGTAGTTCAGTATTTCTAGTGTGCCATTGTTTTTCTCGTACAGTTGATGTGTTTCCCTCGGTTTTAGTTTGTTATCCGGATTTGTTTTTGCTTAATCGAATTATGACTATTGAACAGCAGTATACTTATGTTGCCTGTATTTATTATCCAAATCCGTATACTCAAAAATCCTAAAGGGATTTTAAGTCGCCATTTTGAATTGCCTACCATTCTTTAAAAAAAAAAAGAAGAAGTATTTCTATGTGACTATATACTTTCCAATTTCACTCATGTTCTTCCTAAATGATTCTTCCGATTTATTGTCCGATCACCGACACTCTTACTCAACTATCGTTTAATTCAGGTCAACAAATTCAAATTTCGCGACAAGGGAACGTAACTGGCAAACATGCCGTTCTTCAACAACATAGACGAAATGGGAGATTAATATGCAATTCGGAAACTTCCCAGTTAATACATCAATTACAACGATTATTCCTCATACAAATCAAACGCAAATTTCTTCACAACTATAAGCCGCGGGGACAAAATCTATCGAAAAATAAAGAGCAAACGTATAAAAATTTTCTGCAGATGGGAAAACATAACTTATTGTTTTATTGCTTGATATATTAACTAAAATCGAGTAGTTACTAAAAATTATTGACGTAGGATATTGGAAAGGAGGGTGAAGGGGCTGACAATTCAACGTTAAAAGTGGTCCTTGTAAAAAGTGTATGCAATTATCATATATAATTCTCCATGTTGTTTTAAAAAGACATGTTTGTCAGTTACGTTGCTTTCGCTGCGAAATTTGAATTTTTTAACCTGAATGGAACGAGTCGAGTAAAGGTGTCGTTAATCGGAAAATCAATACATACTAATGACAGAAGAATCATTTAGGATGGACATAAGTGTCTTTCTTAGGTATTTAGTCACATAGAAATATCTCTTATTATTTTTCATTTAATGAAAAGAAGGTTATTCAAAGGGGCGATTTTCGGTATACGGATATGGATAGTGAACTGCACATTGCTAAAAAAAAAAATATTGATGCCTACGTTAAATACGTTAATAATGTAATACAAATAGACAGCAAATACGAAAAAAAAAAAGAAAAAACATTGATTGTTTGTGACTAGCTGTACTTTTATATTTTTACCTTAATCATGTTAATACCGAAACACTGTTATTTTATCTTTAAATCCATAGCAATAAAAGAGGGACAAAAGATACCAGAGGGACAGTCAAACTCATAGATCGAAAACAAACTTACAACGCCATGGCCAAAAATAAAAGACAAACAGACAAATAATAGTACAGATAAGAAATAATAAGATGCAATACAATCGAGAACGCATTCTGAAGGCAAGTTATACATTAAAATTTGATATTTTCAGCCCATAAATTTCAAAGCAAAACCTATTGGAAAATATTAAAACAGCATTTACACATGTACCATTTGTATGTAACGGCACACAAAAAAAAACCAAAAATAAATGAAAAGTAAAAAATTGGCAAATTGATGGAAAATGACTACAATATTTAAACAAAATAAACTGAGACCTTCGGGAAATTTTACAAGAGGGGAAATAGAAATACATTTATTTTCTAAATTAAGGTAGTCATATCTGACAAAATGTTTTTAATGATACATTTTAAGGACAAAATTTATATAAATGTCAGAGACCTAAAGACACAAAATCAGAGAACGATTATATTACAGATGGTTGGTCAGCATAACAAACAGACTTTAAGATATAAACAGTTCCATTAAACAAGTACAAAACATACTTACCAATGAAACTTGAGGACAAAAACCCGATAAATATGCACAAGAAAACATTAAAATGCATCTCAAGTGTTATAATATTACTGCTTAATTTATGCACATTGAACTGACACTGAACAAATCAATTAAAAAAACATAATATGTTATTGTAAATAATTGACATTTTTTATACAACAGATGTGTTCGCTAGATCAATACATGTTAAACACTGCGTGAAATGATGCGTTTACAAGAGAAATTTAGAAAATCAGCTAAATTTCTGATTTAATCGTATTTACATTTAATTTACAGATTTTCTTTTTCTAATTTACGCCAATATACATTTGATTAAAATATCTTTTTTACATTAAATTTATCTGTTTTTTATTTATGTAAATTTATTATTCCAATTAATTTTTATATTTCCAAACATTCAAAACCGATTCAATAACAGCTAATATTTTGTTAACATGCATGTTACACTCGAATAAAAGCTGAAGATTAAATCTTTTTATAATCTAGATTTAGATTTTGATTTTCTTGTAACCAATATTTGAAATAATGCAGTTACAGGAATTTCATAGATTTCACTTTCCTTAAGAAAAAGTATATTTCCAGGAAACATCTGAAATTCGCTGTAGTGTTAGATCGGTAATTTAACGTTATTATTCCACTATTGTTGTTTGCTTTACACATTTTCAGTAAGAAGAAGTGCATCATTGTTTTAAAACAAAAAATGTGTAATAAATATGTTAACATTAATATTTTGTATCTATTTTAATATTTTAAATAATTTGAACAATTTGTCATGCTCAAACTTCTCTCATTTTCTTGACTTCTTGAACAAAGGTGCAACATGCATTACCAGGCTAACGCACAGGGTTATAATGAGTATTAGAGTAAAAAAAATATTGATGCAAGTTTCTTCACCTCATAAATTTCTTACTGTGTTTTGGCAAATTAATAACTTGATTTCGGAAAAACTTAACGGTCCTATTTAAAATATGTGGCTATACTTCAGCATTAATTACTAATAGACGTTTACACTTATTCTTTTAGATTTTAGATTTTAGCGAGAAAAATTTATGTATTACTGAAAAATTATTACACCAGGGTTTTCGATATCATAAACTATTCAAAACTTTTTACTAAATTTTATCATCGGTATAAGGACATCATTCGTAAATATAACTCAACATGCAGACATCTCATACGTTCGGGTATTTCACATCCAATCTTTTATGGTAATATTCTTTACAGAGCGCAAAAATTTCAGCATTCACCTCAAAAGCTAACAGAACATTTAAACAGACTTATTAAGAAGGGATATAGTTACGATACTGTTGTCAGGTCATTAAAGATTGCATATTTTGGTTTTAATATTGATTCACTTATAGGGTCTTTGCATCGGAATTAAACATATTTATTCTAAAACCAGTTGTTGGCATGACACGGGTTATGTTCTTCTCATATATTTTATGATGGTACTAAACCCCTAACAGGAGGGATTGTGCCTGATATTCATATTATGAAGACATAATCTTTCAATCAGTTTAATGGAGGTCTGGAGCTGGCATGTCAGTAACTGCTACTAGTCTTTTTTTATTTATGTATTATTGTCTTTTTGTTAATTTTCTTTTGTTTCCTATTCTGACATCGGACTCGGACTTCTCTTAAACTGAGCTTTACTTTGCGTACTGTTGTACGTTTGTTTTTTGTACATTGGCTAGAGGTATAGGGGGAGGGTTGAGATCTCAAAAACATGTTTAACCCCGCCGCATTTTTGCGCCTGTCCCAAGTCAGGAGCCTCTGTCCTTTGTTAGTCTTGTATCATTTTTAATTTTAGTTTCTTGTGTATAATTTGGAGTTTAGTATGACGTCCATTATCACTGAACTAGTATACATATTTATTTAGGGGCTAGCTGAAGGACGGCTCCGGGTGCGGGAGTTTATCGCTGCATTGAAGACCCATTGGTGTCCTTCGGCTGTTGTCTGCTCTATGGTTGGGTTGTTGTCTCTTTGACACATTCCCCATTTCCATTCTCAATTTAATTTACTGCCACAAGAATATATTTCATTTCGTTTGAAATTTGGGTTTTCTTAATTGTTGGCTAATTGTAGGACTTATATATAGATAGGAACTAGTATAACTAGTTCTGTAACAATACAAAAAGGTTTGCAATTTCTACTGGTATAGTTTTATGGTAGTATATAACGTTTGGCATTTAAATGTGTAAGTATCGAATGTGCTGGCAGTTAGGTCGAATCGAAGTAAGTCACATTAATATATATACA